CCCCCCCCCCCCCCCCTGCGGGCGCAAGTTATATACACCAATGAGCTCCCTGACCTATACGTCCCGACCTATTGGCCCTAGGTTCTCCGCTAATCAGGGTTAGTTGAGGAAAGTAAGACGGGACCTTAGCGCGAGTAGTATGGCGTGGGTGCTTACAAGAACTCATAAAACACGAATTCGGCTCCCTCCCTAAACCCTTGTACCAGGTGCTTGGTACTGGCCAGCCTCTGCGGGACTACGTTGTGTCTGCCTTTGCTGCTGAGGGGCAGGTCTTCAGTGAGGCTGCCCTGCCACAGGACAGGTTTACGCTGGGTTTAGGGTTTAGNNGGTTTAGGATTTAGGGTTCACGGGTTTGGGGTTTAAGGTTTAGGGGTTTGTAGTTGCCGAGAATGGAGAATCGGATGAGGACTTAATTCAAGCTGTTTCATGTACCGGTTTTTAGGGATTGTAACGTAGGCCAAAATGTGTGTTTTCCCTTTTTGGGCGTGTAAGTATAGGGGGCCGCATTGCATTAGGAACCCCAAAAGCGGCTAGAATTTCAAGGTTTTATAGGGGTTGGGTTGAGGGTCCAGAGCTCGGCTTTGGGACGGGGAAATCCCTTCCTCCAAATGTTCCTCCAGACCAGAAAACATCTTCTCCAGTGAAGAGGTGGGGAAGCTTTCCCCCAAAGAGTGGCCGTGATACTTTTCCTTCTAACTACTTATCCTAAAGCTGCCTGCTTCTTGTTCTTCACGAGGCAAAAACAGAAAACCACAAACCCAAAACCCCGAACCCGAACTCCTAGTCTAAGCTTCCGCAGGATGTCCAGAGCTTGCTCCTCAATGTCCGGCTGGTTGAGACTGAGTTGCTGTTAAGGAACTTTTTCTTAAGTTACTATATTGGGGAAAACCCTAGAAATTACTATATATACCCATTATGGTAACTTAAACCCTAAACCCTGAACCCTATATAACCCCATTGTAGTAGTTTCCATTTTCTTTTCCATTATCCCCATATATACCCATTATGGTAACTTAATTTACGTTCCTTAATCCCTATATTCCCCCAGTGTCCATTTCATTTTCCATTTTATTTTCCATTTGATTCTCCATTATAGGCCATTATGGTAACTTAATTTAAGTTCCTTAACAGCAACCCAGGAGAGGGTTCCTCCCTTCTTCGGCGTGCCGCAGCAGCTGAAGAAGCATCCCCCTGGGATCGGCTCTTGTCGGCTGTCACTGGAAGAGCCTGGGTTGCTGTTAAGGAACTTAATTTAAGTTACTATAGGGTTTAGGGTTTAGGGTTTAGGGTTTAGGGATATTATCTCCCTATAATGGAGAATCAAATGGAAAAGAACATGGCAAATGAAATGGAAACTGGGGGAATATAGGGATGTAGGGAACTTAAATTAAGTTACTATATTGGGGAAACCATATGAGTTCCTATATCATATCTACCCATTCTGGTAACTTAATCTAAGTTCCTTAAAAGCAACCCAGGAGCTTCTGCGCATGGCGCAGTCTACTTTGAGTTCAACCACGTCTCGGAGGGAGGTGGATGCAGTAAGCTCTGCTGCTGCGTCAGAGATTCTGCTGTCCGCTCCCTGGCAATCACTGCACCGAATCCTGGGCGACCGCCTTTTCTTCAAAGTCCTCTGCCACCAGATCTACTTGCATATGCCCCCTGGATCTCGCTGGCTGCAGCTGGCGGGCCGCCCTGGGCAAATGGGAAGCTTCGCAAGCCCTCCGCAGAAACAGAAACCCTGGAGCCCTGCTTCCATCTTCATCGAACGGCGCATCTTTTACTCGTGCCGCTTTGCTGCCCGCGCTGGGCTGCCGCTGCGCAGTGCGCTGCGGCGCGTGCCAGCGGACAGCTCTGGGGCGCAAAGCCTCGTTTCCTGGATGCTGGGACCGCACTTTGCCTCTCCATTGCCTGCAACCACTGCCTTCCCGGCTTTCCCTCCACAGGACCTCCCGCAAGGCAATCGAAAGGAGCGGCGACGGCGCGGTCCGCGCAAGCGGCCAAACGACAGAACGGGCCCCAAAGCCAAGGCGGCCCCGGAACCAAAAGCGACACAGCCGCAAGCAGCCCGGCACTTTACGCGGCCAGTCTTCGACGCTCTTGTGCAGCCGGTGCTGGCCCTACTGCAGCGAACCTCGAAGGTGAAGTTCCAGGAGATCCTTAGCAACCACTGTCCCGCTAAGCACGCCATGATGATCCTTAGAATCTTCGAGGTGAGCCATCGTCTAAACTCCTTAAAGGGGGGTTATGTAGGGGACTATCTTGGGGACTATTCAAGGGGTTATTGGGATACTAGGAGTTAGACTATGGCTCAGGTGAGCAACCCGAAGCGCAGGCGAACTTTGGAACAAGCATCACGGGCAAAGATAACGGGCTTGAGGTGGGTGTTGTTCTAAAGGTCCTAGGGATTACATGGGGGAGTATTATAGGGGTTACTAAGGCGGATGTTAGGAGTTTTCCTATAGCTCATAGAGCATAATTTGGGGGTTGCTCTGAAGATCCTCCTAAAGAAGGGATTCCTTAAAGGGAGATCCTGACCAAATAGGGAGCCTAGCTTATAGCCATTTTGGGGACCGTTATTTGGAACAACTCCCAGGTGCTACTGCAACCGGGATGGGCTGAGCCAGGGAGATCCTCATACATGCACGGGTGGAGAGGCTGAGATCCACTTTATGAAGAACTTCCCGGCTGCATCCTGTGCCCTGCACACTGAAGGGGTGGCCCGCTTCCTCATCTCGAGCTTTGCGGACTCCGGGTCGCCATTCATTGGTAACTCAGGGGTTGTTGTGGAATGTTCAGACCAAAAGGATCCCAAAAATGGAAACTACTGTATTATTGCAGGGGTTATACTGGGATAATGGAAAATACAATGGAAACTACTGTATTATTATAGGGGTTATATCGGAATGATGGAAAATGAAATGGAAACTGTTATAGGATTCAAGGCCCCCTTTCAATCAGGAACAAGAATCTCCCTGAGCCCTAGGCTTCTTAATGTCCGTGCTTTTTTCATGTTTTCACTTTCTTCGTTGTATTGCTTCAGTGATGAAAGACTTGGCAAGAAGCAGTACGAGACACAATAAGAAAGCGTGCCTCGAGGATCCCATTCTCCACCCAGGAGGCTAAGAAAGCAGACCCATAAAACTCAAACCCCTAAAACCCTAAATCCCAAACCCTAAGCCCCTAAACCCCCAAACCCTCAAACCCTAAACCCCTAAACCCTAGAGCCCTATACCCTAAACCTCAAACCCTAAACCCCAAAACCCAGGAGTTGCTGGGTGGTGCACAAGAAGCAGCGGAGCTCTTTGGCTCCTCGAAGAATTGGGAGGCTTTCTGTAGGGTGCTGCGGGCCTTTGTCTACCTCCGGCGGGGGGAAGAGCTCTCACTGCATAACGCACCTTGGCAACAAGTGCGTGTAAAGATTTGGGCCAGTTTGGAGTTTAGAACCCTAAACCCCTAAGCCCCTAAACCCCTACACTCCTAAACCTTATAAACCCTTTGGGTTTCAGGGATTTGCCATTCCGTGTTGCGGGGGTATTATCCATCCTGCAAATCTGGTACTCCGCAGTGCACGGACCCTGGAAAGGAATGTTGACTCTTAGTAACCTTCACTTGACAAAGAGCGGCTGAAATTGAAGCTACATGACCATGTGGAAGGTTGTCAAATTTAGATTGCGTTTTGGTGTGCCCTACATGTTTGCGGCCGCAACTTTTCTAGGAGTCCGAATGGGGACCATAATGTCAATCTCGAAAGACGGACATCCTTCTAGGGAACCCACAAAAACGGCAGGCTTCGCTTGCACATGCATGGGACCTAGTACTTACTTGAGATTTGGGTATAAAATTACTTATGACGGAGGTAACCCCTACCAGGACATTCAGGACATTTAGGGGAAGCGGTTACAAGTTCCAAGAACCTCCAAGTATGATCCCAAGATGCAAATTTCCTTTCAGTCGTGTGAAGCGTTTACTTCGCCCACTGCATGGCCCATGAATGGTGTACGTGGGCTCATACCCCGAGAGACCTCACATCTTGAACTCCATTTGCATGCGGGTTCATGGGTGGTTAGAAGGAGCTGTACAAGTACAAGCACCCTCAATAAGATCACAACTGCCATAGTAATCCTGTTTCTAGACCACTCGTAACAACACGTACCCAGGGGATGGGCCTCCGAGTCAGGTGCTGCATGGCATCTCTGTCCGAGATTTCCAGACGGCAATGAGCAGACGCGTGAAGGTCCGGGACTTTGGGTTTAGCGTTTAGGGCCGGGTATATTGCATGTGTGTATAAGGTCTAGGATTTGGCTAGGGTTACTTTGGATTCCGCGAGAGAGGGCCTAAATTCTCAGTAGCCCAGATGGTTTGACCTCAAAGTTGAGGACTACTAGGGCCACCTCCAGCTGAAACCCCAAGCCAAGCCCCAAATCCCAAACTCAACTCTAGGAAGCCTCGACCAAGATCCCTAAACAAGCCCCTCCAACTTGACATCCAAATCAAACCCCAAAGACACAGTACGTCCTTTAGAAATCCCTCAGCCCTAAACCCTAACCTCTAAGCCCTAAACCCTAACCTCTAAGCCCTAGGCCCTAAGCCCCAAACCCTCAACCCTAAGCCCCAAACCCCGAAACCCTAAACCTTGCAGCCTCAATCCCTGAGAAGGGCCGAGGCCAGCTGGTGGACATGCAAGCGATGGCGGAGGTGTTGGGCCGCCTTTGCTACTTCTTGCTGCTAAGTGGGGAATATTGCCACAGTAGGGTTTAGGGTTTAGGAGGTTTAGTGTTTAGGAGGTTTAGGGTTTAGGAGGTTTAGAGTTTAGGGTGTAGGAGGTTTCGGGCTTAGGAGGTTTAAAGGCGGGGTTACATGTAGAGGATCATATAGGGGAGTATGATAGGGCTTATTAACGGGGATACTAGGTGTTTAGATTATTTCCCCCTTGGGGATGTATAATAATCTCTTGGGAGCTATAAGCACATCCAGCGATATCTTAGGGCTGAGGGCTAGGGTTTGCGTAACTTGGGGAATGTTACCCATGCTATTGAATTTCGAAATGCAGAATGGACTGGCAACGTCAGAAAGCAGGGCTTATGCAGGGGTTGTTACCGTCCCTTGTTGCCCTGAGTATTCGGGGGCGTATACTTACTAGGCACCCCAACAGGGACTGCAATTTGACAACTTCGCATGTAGAGGTTACCAAGTAAGTAAGGCTGGCGCACGTGGCAGTCCCCCTTCTGCGGGAACATTTCTACGCCACTGATGCGGAGCCTTGCGGAACGCAGACATTGTGGTAGAGTTCAGCATTCTTTTGACTTGTTGGGTTACCTTATATCGCAGTTTCCATGAATAGTGGGGCCCCAACATAGACCCGGAAGTACAACAATCCTTGTTATGGGGACCCCCTTGACAGGAGCCGAAGATTGAGAGTTCTCATTACATCGTATAAGTAAGGGAGACATGGATGATATCATGACCTTCCGTGAAAACGTGGTTTAGCGTCATTGTGGTTTACCATTGCTACCCCATCTTAATCTGCCCGGGACACCTTGATGAGGATGTCTTAGGGTTGGGCTACTAATGAGTCAAATTAGGGTTGAGGATTGTCCATTTGCGTTCCAGTATTGGGCAACATTCCTGAGCCCGCAGCCCTACTTCCTAAACCCTGTATCTGAGTTCATGTTTCTATGGTCCCCAAATTTGGATTAGGACAGTCTTCTTCCGGAAGCACGTCTGGCACTTCATCCGAACACGCGCTGATTGTGGCTTCTTGCATCTCTGTATGCGAAGAGACTGGGTTGCTGTTAAGGAACTTAAATTAAGTTACTATATTGGGGAAACCCTAGAAATTACTATATATATATACCCATTATGGTAACTTAAACCCTAAACCCTAAACCTATATAACCCCATCATAGTAGTTTCCATTTTCTATTCCATTATCCCTATATATACCCATTATGGTAACTGAATTTAAGTTCCTTAATCCCTATATTCCACCAGTTTCCATTTCATTTGATTCTCCATTATAGGCCATTATGGTAACTTCATTTAAGTCCCTTAACCCTAAACCCTAAACCCTATATACCCATTATGGTAACTTAATTTAAGTCCCTTAACAGCAACCCAGGAGATGGGCAATACCCAGGCACTGCGCAAGCTCAGAGGCCGATGCTTCAGGGGTTGAAGGTTTAGGGTTTAG